ACCATGCTGTGGATGAGTGCAAACCGTTATCTACTAAACACCCCTAGTAGGATATTAAAGTGAGATAAAAAAAAAAATGAAATGACATCGTAGGCAAGATGAACAAAGATGACAAATATTTGGTTGTGTCCTAGCGTTCCTGTTTATAAAATATTGCAAAATAATAACACGAATAAAATTTTAATCTTTCAAAAAAAAAAAAAAAAAAATAATAATAATAATAATAATAATAATAAACATTTCTGGTTTGTTAAATGTATCTACCTAGCTTTCAATAGATTCAACATATCAAACGATAAAAATTCGACGGTGATTAAAATTAGTAGGCCTATATGTTTGTCTCGGAGTAATAAATTTTGCAAACGAAGAAAAGCTCAATAAATTCCAAACACAATTGAAAGAAAGCATTGGAAACCCAGACCTCTGAAACCATCAGAGGCGAAATCAGGTACTACGGAGGAGTAAGCATCCCTATCAATTTTTCACATTCGTTCTGAGCCATATTTCTTTATCTAGTAAACGGGATTATCAATATTAATATAGTGGTGTAAGAATTAGAAAAAAAAAACGGTCAACATTCAACCAAAAAGGTTGTATTTGAAAAACAGGCTCACTTTATCTGAACAGAATGTTTGTACTCTTGTAATATCAAATATTTGACCGTTAACTGCCTCGGGTAAGAAATTGCTCCTATGTGGAAGGTGATCGTGCAAAAATAATTGGAAGACAAAAACACCATATTCATGTGATAATAGTATATACTTCATAAGTAAGAGAAATTGACGAAAAAAAGTTAAAAACTGAGAATAACGAACAGAGTACAATCTCATAAATCCAATCAACAAAATGAATCGTGAACAAGACAAAATCACGGATACTTGGAAGCAGCAGAGGCGGAATCAGGTGCCTAGAAGGAGTAAGAATCCACTGTTGACAGCTCATACCCGCTGTGAGGCTCATTTATTGATCCGTCAGACAAGAGTAGTCAAATCTAGTACAAAAACCTAACAAGTGGTATAAAAAAAACATGTCAGACAAAGTGCGACCGATAGGCTGTATTTACAAACATGGCCATTACACTGTATAACGACCGTACAATTTTGCTGACTTCAATCGGGTTTGTTGAAATCCTTGCAAGATCAACTTATTTGTCAGGATTTGTCAGGAGCCAGCCTTGGTTTAAAAATTAATCGTATTCAGAGCATTCTCTTTTGTATCGAATCATTTTGGAGACATTAACACGATATACAGGTGATATTGGAATATTGGTACATAAATACTAGTAAGGGTACAGTACGATGAAAAAGGTAAAGTCAGCCCGTTTGTCATGCATCTGTTATTAGTGGACCATTATAATCTATGGTCAGTAAAGCATCCAAATGATAAACAAATTTGGCAGCCGCTGTGGTGCTTTTTTTAATTTCGAGTTCACTAGGACATGTCGAATCGACACATGATTGAGAGTAATTATTGTTAACTATTGTTAATTGATAAAACGTCGTCGATATACTCTTTAAAATGTTGAGTTGATCACAGAATTGTTTTCTAAGAAGGTTTTTAATAATTTTTGCTTCTTAGGAATATAAAATCAGATCGGCTTATGAAGAATTACTTCAATCAGTGTTCATCATAATCCCAACAGATTGTTAAAAGAAGAATTGTTTTAAATTTTGTATTTTTTTGAATTGAAACATAAGGTCTCTAGGATGTAAAAATCAAGGATATGTTGCTAGTGTATATAATGGCAAAGATATAGCTTTGCAAATCTGAAAACATTTACAGAATGTAGGCTATAGGGGCTATTTTTCCAATTTTGTTTCAATTTTTGAGAATAGGAATATAAGTTTGGTTCTTGGCTGCTGGGTGCTGATGTTCTATCCCTTTTATAAATGCAAGTGCATATTTCAAGATTCTTTTGAAACGCATGTGTGCAAAATTATACTAACAATCTGAAAATACGTAAAGACAACAGATCTCCTAATTTATTTATTAAATAACGAGGAAAAGTCCCTAAATCATATTCTTATTTTTTTTTAATTCGAACACATTTTTGCAAAATATTTTTAAGAACTTTTTAAATTTTTAAATCTGTAACATATGCATTTTTATGCTATTTTTATATAATGCAATATTTGGGGCACATAGTTTTTAGTCCGTCCGTCTAACTGTCTAGCTGTCATTTTTGTCTGTCTGTTTATATGTCTATTTATATGAAAAAAACATTAACCTTGCTCAAAACCTCTGACTGATTGGTTGGAACTAGGGCTTTCATATTTAACTTGTGTATTCCTTGTGACAAGCACTTTCTTTGGGTACCGACATATATGACCTATTTACCTAAATTTTAAAGTTTGACTACTTTTCCAAAATTTAACCAAACTTTAACCTTGACCATTACTTTGGAACAATTGGTGCTAGGGCTTTCATATTTGGCGGTTTATTTCCTGTCACAAGGTCACAAAACCCTTTCATGAAAGTCAATTTTTTTTTACTTAACCCTTATCTTGGATTTTGTCGTACGTAAACAATTTTATTTATTGTTATCCATGGCCATAACTTTTAAACGGTTAGTGAGAGGACTTTTATAATTAATATGCGTATTCCTTGTGAATGACCTTTTCTTGGATACAAACTTTTGTGACCTTTTGACCTTGACCTTGTGGTGTAATCTTCTTTTGAAAAACATTATTCTTGACGATTTCTTTTGAACGGTAGGTGTTGGGGCTTTTATATTTAACCTGAGTATTCCTCGTGACTCGTCCTCCCTTGGGTGCCAACATCTTGACCTCACGATCTGGACCCTGGAGTGTAACATTCTTTTGGAAAACTTTAACTTTGTCTTTAGCTTGTATTTGAGCAGCTTTAACCTTGTCATTGAGCTGTCATACAGGACCATCAGCATTTCACAAACACATTTTCTTTCTTGTGGAGAACATTGCAGTTCAGTTAAATACTATGTTTTCTTTGAAAAAAAAATACAGATTTCATTTTCTTTTTCAATCTAATTGATGCACAAGACATACGTTTAATGGACATTGTTCTGTTAGTTAATTCACATCTATACCATTTAATTAATCATTCTGCTAATGAAGTCTTCACACAACGTTTATCTCCGCTAGAAATATAAAAACGTATTATTGAAGGAAATTGCATATGCCAAATATCATTGTACTCCAAGCTGCACAAACAGAAATAAATATGCAATTATGATAACAGTTAATCTGTGGTATGAGAGTATGTAAACCAAAAACTGATATCTTCTATAAGCTGCACAGTGGGATGCCTCTTGATAGGTGTCAATTATTTTCTGGTCCCCCAGTTCAAGTGCTTAGATTTATAACTATTTTGATAGTTAAGGATTTACTTTAAATCAGCTGTAGCTCTGTACTTGTGAACTCAAATTGATCAACTCAAGAAATGCACTTCATAATGTATTGAACACAATGTCTTTCAGAACATACACTTCATTATGTAATCAACGCAATGACGTCAGAGGATTCAGAAATAGAATCCAGTAGATTTATGAAAAAAATAAAGTAAGATTTTATATTGCATCTGTTTGACAAAGCAGACGAAGTTAAATTTAGCTTTGCCCAAACTCAACATTTTTTTGTTCAAAGAGATACAATTAAAAATATTTTTGAAAATAAACAAAATCAAAGGTGGTTTATGTAGGATTATTTTTTTCCTTTAAATTAAATGTATGAATACTATGACATTATCATGGAACCTTACAAAAAGAAATCAAAGTAAATCAAAATAAAGTTTCAAAGTTTCCTTGAAAATATAAAAATAGAATTATTTGTACTTTACTAAAGCAGATTTCACATAGTTTTGTATATTTCATTACAACGAACTCTTTTTAACCATAGTAATAATTTCTTATAAATTGATTTGTAAAGAAAGCGGGATAGACGGCGAACAAAATGCTGGAACATTTTAATATGCTTATAAATGGCTTAGCATTTTGACTGTTACATATAACTTTTCTCGAAAGAAAGTGCAAAGGCAATCAGTTAGGATCATCTGAGATACTACCAAAGTCTACAGCAATTGATAAGACGACACAGAAGATAGAACAAATTGACAGCACATACTTATCTTTGCATAGCTGCGTAACTATTTCGTTGAGGTGAGGTAAAAAAGACATATAAACAAATTATCACACATTTCCTAATATTTGAGATTAAATGTTTGTAAAGATAAGAGCTAAACGTTTAATATATATTATCATTCATGCTTACTTTTTATATAACAATTTTGGAACGAGCATAAGTTTCAAAATATTTTTAAAAAAGAGTACAAGTTAAATGAAAAAAAAAATGATTCAAGTATAAACTTATAAAAAAAATCTGGAGAATTGCAGTTTATTTTTGAAACAGAAACTATTTTTCTAAAAACGTGTTAAATACTCTGTAAAATAACGTAAGATTCCCAATGCAATGAATCGAGCTAGTGCAAGCCCATACACTCAATGGATCAGAGTAAGCTTTATGCACAAACATTCTAGAAGTATTCAGATGATTGAAAAGTGGTGCGATTTCTTCTTTCTTATTTCTCTACTTAAGGTCAGACGACACGTTCCTCAGTTATATATAACTTTTTCGAGGAATTTGCTATTGATTTACTCCTACTATGACAAGCTTGCTTGCAAAAATTTAGGGTACATTACCAGGCATTTGTGCAAGATACTAGAGGATGGAATTTCCTATATAACCCTATTGAAAATCACTTGAATTGTAGATATAACAAATTTTGGTATATATATATATATATATATATATATATATATATATATATATATATATATATATATATATATATTAAAAATTGTAACCATTTTAAAAATGAAAATAAATAATGTTAATTTTAATTGGGATATTATCAAGCTGTTGAAAATTTGAAAAATAATTATCATTTTTCTTCAGTGTAAACCTGTCCTTGAGTTACCTCTCTTTGTGAAAAAGACAAAATAGGTTTTTATTAAGAACAACTTTTATTTACATTCCTGTTCAATATAATCAAGGACTCAAATGTTATTGCATTCAAATAGAGATAAATGTACATACCACAAAAAAAATATGACTGATTTACAATACAGTATCACAATACACAATTGGATGTTTACAAATTTACTTTAGATTCATAAAATACTGTTGAAGAGAAAAAATAATTCTAGAATTTGTAGTAACTCGCACTTTACCTGTTGCATGTTTGTCAGACAATACATACTTTATTCCATTTACTGCATCTCTCTGATAGGCAAGACAAAGATGCTGGAAATGAAGGCCAGATGATGCAACTTTGTTTGCAGTAAATTTTGACAATACATTGCTGTCTACAAGATGTTGTAAAGAACATAAATTTCTGCTGGTCAAATCTGCAAAAGAGTTGTTTTCAAAAAGAAACTGCGTTGTAAAACTATGTTTGAGCATCATATCAGAAGAAGCTTTTACACATAACACCAGTTCTTGTAAGGTCTGAGCATCAGACAAAGCATCATGGGCATCATAATGCCTACTACATATGTCTTTAGCAAGATCTGTAAGCTTATATGATTTTCTATTTGGGATGAGTTCTCTACATAATGGCAGAGTGTCAGTAAATCCAATGAAGAAGTCACTGGCACACAGTTCCACTGAATCAAATAAACGCACAATAATTCGGGAATCAAATATGGCATTGTGAGCAACCAAAATTATGTTGGTAAATTGTTTCATCCAATCAATAAATGACTGAAAAGCTTCCTCAGTTGTCTTACTGAGAACTTGGTGTCCATTCTTGTACATGATATTGTCTCTGATTACTAGTCCAGTCACAGCTGTAGCAGAAGCAGAGATAGGTTTTGTTGGAGGAGTGACATACTGGGAAAATATTTTATCATCAGTACAAGCTGCAATCTGTGTTACTTCACAATCTTTTTCTGAAAAGAGAAAACATGAAATAATTTATAGATGAAGTCAAAAGCATTTTTCAGCAATTCACCACATCATGTTTTAGGCACAATTTTTATATGGAAATACATGTATGATGATATTTACCAAGACCTGTTGTTTCCAAGTCAAAGTATACAAATGTATACTGTTCAGCTGCAATGGGTGTTGAAATGGGTTTGATTAGAGGAGGGGGTATTTCTGTAATGCTGTTGTCTATATTATTGTTGATGTCAACATCAGTTTCGTATGTGATCCCCTCTTTTACTGCTGATGATTCATGATTTTTCTTGCTCTCAGCTTTTTTCAATGCTCTTCTTTTCTTGTACTCTGCTGTATCTTCTTTGTCTTTGTCTTTCTTCCTTTTCAAGTCTGTTTTCATGGCAATTTTGCTTGTCACTTTCCCAGGTGAAAGAAACAATTTTTCATTTACCTGAAATGAAAACACTTTACAATTTTATTTCTAATAATCTTATTTACCTAAAGTTCAAGCTAAAATTTCAAGTAACATTGCTAAATTTAGTATTTCACAAAACAATCACAACTGCATGTAGAACATGTATTTGAAAGAAAAAATATCATAATTTTAGTGAATTTCTATGGAAGGGTAATAATACTTCAAGAATAAACCTTATTTTTCCAATTTACCTGTAATATATACTGATGACCCAAAGTTTTTGTGCAACTGCTGCAGCTACTCTAAAGTCGTTGCTCTCCGAGCCAGAGTAGAATGTTGATTTTGGAGTCTTGCTTGCCACAGTATTATTAAAACTTTCATTGGGCTGGGTACTTCCTAAATCTACCAATCTATCAGCCTGTGAAATGTAAAAGTCAATTATGGATGTCAAATCAACTTTCAATTCTTCATTGGAAAGATAGCGGTGGTATGGCAACTGAACAGGTTTGTAAGTCGTTGGTGATGATAAATACCCACACCAAGATCCACACAAGCTGTGATCACCAAATACATGTCTGGATATAGCCTCCATGTTTTTCCTCATACCATCCAAGTCATGTTGATTTTGACTGACACAATATCTGAAGCACTTTGACAGGTGACTTATAGTCTTAGGATTTAGTTCTTTATAGTTTTTACACTTTTTCAGATCATACAACTTGTTTGTGAACTGTTTCAGTGTGTGATTTTTATCACTTTGTTTCTTCAAAGCTGAGTTTACCTCAGTACGAGCCCTTGCTATTGTTGTAGTATCATTGTCCATGATGATAGTTCCTACTTGCACATCCTTTTCTCCTAGATCTTTGAGCATTTCTATGCACATGTCTGGCTCCATAGCTTTGGAACTCCCCGTCCAGTTTTTACGGCAGTCATGAGTTGATGGAGTCTTCCCCGTTTTTTCTGCACTATGACATATTTTGCAGTATCCGTTGTGTGTTGCAAAATGTACAATTCTGCCAGTTTCTCTGCCTATCATTGCTGCATGTCCTAGAAATATGAATTTCACAATTATATTTTTCCTTCGTCAAACATGTGAAATAATGTATAAAGTCTTTGACTTCGTATTACCTGAATGCATTGTCTCATATCTTTCAATAGGACCCTACCAGATAAACTTGAAAAAGAACGCCCTGATCCCCTCTTCTGCCAGCCGCCATCAAATGACACCATCAACTCTTCATTATTACTACAATACAATTTACATATCATCAGGATAAATTTTATTATCAGATTGAATTCGGCTAGAGTCGCCAGCCTAAGATTACATGTAAAGCGAATAAACAATGCATTTTCAATGATAACTGAACTTATTTCTGTGTGTAATACTATTGAATATGCCAATTTATGTATATACATAGTATTCAGTATATACAACTGTTGAAGTATTATCTGCAAGTTTATTTTATGTATACATGCCTTGGATTAGACATATTATATAAATATTGCATGTAGTTGAGTGTAACATTGAAAATTTTCACCCCAAGAAAACCATTGTCAACTGAGGTGCAGCCAATTGCAAGGTTGACAATGGTTTTCGAGGGGTGAAAATTTTCAATGTTACACTCAACTACATGCAATATTTATTATATTATACTGAATGCTTTATACAAATACATGATAATAACAGTGAACTTTGCGCGCATAAATTTTGCGCAATCACTATTTCTTGGAAAATCACCCGTTGTCAAGCAATGTTGACTGTTGCTATGCTGGAGGGCTTGGCTTCATCATTCAGCAAGTAATAGTGTTTTTTAATAAATGTTTCTCGACAAATCAGATTCAACTAATTTATATGAAAGTATAATACATGTATTATAAATTATGCAATAATCCTACAATATAGGCATCACTTTTATAATAATTTTGAAATACATTGCTTTTCTAAAATTTTAATTATGCAAGCATGGTATAATTTATGGTGTGTACCTAGAAGATTCTCTCTCTGCAGTTACCACAGAATCACAACTTTGCCTTGCAACATCTTCTACTGCTTTACCAGCTTCTCTCTCTGTAGATTTTAAAGCTGTGTGAGAAAGAGGTGGAATATTCAATACCCTCAATAGCATGGACACCTTTTTCTCCCCTATGCCTGAATGTAGCATTCCTACAAAAACAAATACTTATATAAGTAATATGACATTACATTATATATCTTATGTTATCCTTTTATCAGATTATATGAAAAAATTATAGAGTTCTCATACACACCTAACGCAAGCTTTGTGTTTTCATCAAATGCTCTGCTGGCATGGTCATCCACACGTGAGTGTCTCTTTCCACTTGGGACAGAAGTCACTTTGTTGCACATTTTGCAATTTATTCGTAGTAATGAACCAAGTCCATATCTTACTTCACCACAAATATCAGTTAACTTCAATGGATGTCCACAAAAGTTACAGCCCTCAATTAGTTTGTTCACAACATATCCTAGTTCTATTACACGTCTTCCTGTGAACCATTCTATCTGTTTATCACTTTTAGTACTATCATCATCCTTTAGGAGAATTTCAGTGTCTACTTCATCTTCTTTCTGTGCATAATCATGCTCATTTAGATAGTATGGTACATGTAATCCTAAAACTCCGTCCACGTCATTTGCTTCAGAGAACTCTTGTTGTGAGAGAGACACACTAGCATCGTCTGTTCAAAAAAAAAAAAAAAAAAAAAAAAATATATATATATATATATATATATATATATATATATATATATATATATATATATATATATATATATATATATATATATATATATATATATATATATATATATATATATATATATATATATATAAAATATATAATATATATAGTAAGAAAATATATCCAAAATGTGTAGAGTTTATAAAATCAAATATAACACATGTATTTCTCCAAATAAATACGTATGTGAGGAGTGAACTACCTGGTGTCTTTGCGACACTGTCTCGTTCTGAAAAGAATCACCAGTCTACGATTACTGTATACATATAATAAAGATTTATTTACCTTTGTCCACTTCTTTATTTCTCTGTCTGTTTTCTTCTAAAACATTGGCTTTCCTGAACATTTGATTTGAAATGAATTTTCCATTCTTACCGCGATTTTTTCCAGGTGTCTCCATTGTAAATAAATTACAAATTTATCTCCAATCGCTAAAGAGCGCAGAAAGGGACATAATCAAATATAATTTTTTAAATCAACTTCGGTGAAAATCCGGATTGTTTTATTGGAACTCTTTATTACGAGGAGATACAAAAAAAGATACTCGAGGAACGTGTCGTCAGACCTTAATATAGATGACCGTCAAAAATTCAGCATTTTAACAAATATAATTTTAACTAGAGCGAGCTCGTTGCAAAGCAACGAATAGGTCTTCCGTTGGAGCTGCGGAAGGAAGAAGTGACCTTGAGTCAAGGTCATGCAACATTCTAAAGTTATACATGTAAGCAATCTTGTAAGGGGAAGCAACTTACAATATTTCGCCAGGAAAAACTGTAAAGGAATGTACGTGACCTTGAACATTCCAAATGACCAAATGACAAGCCATGTCACACTCTCGTCATAAAACCCAATCTGTGTGTTACCGACTTGAAAAGTTCACAGTGACACGCCATGTTCTTTTAGTCCATACATACAGTCAAAACATCTTATCCTTAGTGACCTTGAACTTGAGTCAAGGCCATGTCACACTCTGCATGATACCAGCAATGTTTCACTAGTACAAATACGGTAGCGAAATTACAGTTTCTCTGTCAGTGACCTTGACTCGACCAAATGACCTTGCATCAAGACTATAACACACACTGGTTAAGAGCAATCCCAGTCTGAGTTTCTGAATGGATAAGTTCAGCCATGTTTTTTCAGACCATACAGCGAGTCGGAATAATTTGTTAGGTTCAACACAATGATTTAAAAATTCATTGAGAATGTTTTATGCTCAGTTTGGATAAGTAGTAAAACGTGGAGATCGGTCCTTTGGATGAGACCGGATAAGGTCTCGTGTCGGGGTAAGTGCTAGCATGAGTGATCTCATGCTATAAATTTTGAATTTACCGGGTGGCAGTAAATACAAAATTTACAACATGACATGTAAATTTTGTATTTACTGACAACAGGTAAGTTCAAAATTTACAACATGACAGATCCATGGCACTTGATTCTACCTCTGATTTCAAAAGATTTGCACTGTTCCTAATTTGTATACATTGTTTGAATGGTCTTTTAAGCTTGAATGTTGCACAGGTGCTTGTGGACAGGACCCCCCCCCCCCCCCCAATATACACCCAATACACACCCCGTGGTCCAAGAATATTTTTATTCGTCTTTTTCCATAAATTAATCTTTTAGTACACATTTACAATGTATTCCATATGAAAAATCAAAAATTACCGTAGAATTAACGTTTTATTCAAAAATCATACCCGCGGTATTATGAAATAGAGAAGTAAGTCACTTCCATTTATTTTGTTAACACTGGACCTCTCTTGGATATCGGGCCTAAAATATCATATACCTACCACATGTCACCAAAATATGTTATTATATCTTGTTTCGGTAGATATTTTTTGTCTTTAATCGTGCTATTTAATTGCCTATGCATTCCACAATAATCCGAGTATTCATCGTCAAACGTAAGAAATGTAAGATTTGGAAATATCAAAGTAGAAATTATACGGAAGTGATGCAGAAACGACACCTAGCGAGTAACTCTCGAGTTCCAAGTGTTACAGAATTAAAGGGAAAAGCCAGAGGTCTACGGAAAAGTTCGGGAAAAATTTTGATAAAGAAGTCGAAATCGATTCATTAGAATTTTAAATTTTGCTGCAGATTTTCCAGATGAGTTAGGGTAGTCATCAATATTCTTTTTAAAGGATTTTATCACTCAAACCAAATAGCGTTTTAAAAACGCTTTCTAACTGCATTTAACCAGTTTGTACAATTTCCCTGTTGTTCTTCATACTCACATATGTTTATGACATGTCCGCAGAATGTAATTATTTGTATTGAGCAAATTACACCAATAATTCAGAATTCGAAGTTTTCTTTGAACATACATTGGGCATCTACCAAATTCGAAATAAACCATTAAGTTATTTGTAGATTTTCGAAGCGACATAATTTTCTTCAAAAAGTTAATATGTACTTGCTCAACATGTGGGGCTTTATGAAATCCCCACATCTCACATCCATAATGAAGAACAGAACCTACATATGTATCAAATAAAGAGAGTGTAGTATCCACATTTAGATTATTCTCTTTCACTCTTTTCCACAAAGAAAAAGTACATTTTTCGTTAACATTTCACCTGTGGAATGCTGATCATTTTCTCCGATTTCCATCCCTTATTGCTCAAAGGCCGTAAGTACCATGTAAATTATAAAATGTATAAATTTTCAGCCATTCACCATTTATATCCTATAAAAATTTTAATTCCATCTATTTTGTTAACATTAAATTCTGGAAATATAGTCAAAAATCAGGAATGAAAATAATAAATGTTAAAAGTGAGATTTATTAATTGTCGAAAGTGCAATGCAAAATTCCGGAAATCAAATGCAAAAACCGAAAATGGTAACTCCCCTCACCCAAAGAAACTATTAGTAAACACTTCGACGCTCAATTGACCACTCCAATGAACACATTAAATCGTTACATTTTTTAAGTTTTAAAATAAAATAAAAGACCTTAAAAAGTCTATAAAATAGGAAAGCTTAGTCACAGATATTAATCGTTGCAGACCTTGTTTTTCATTCATTTGACGATTCGCGAATAACAAATGTCGCGTATGATTATTGGTTTACATTAAAATAGGTTGTGGAATTCAACACGAGCCCTCACCTATATGTATACGTACCTGAACAAACCAACCGATTGACATTTTCGGCTCTAAAGAAAAACATTGTATTCTTTAAAGGGGGGGGGGGGTACGTATCGTAATGAGAGGAAATTTGATCACCTGTCAGTCCATTAAACATGAAAGATTATTTTGGAATATTTGTATACAACTGCGTGGCTTTCTTAGAACCAAATTAGTATTTGTTAGATAAATTAAATAATTATTTAAATTAGATGTTTAAGATTTGTGACATATTTGTAAGAACCACTTTATTTACCAAACAAAGTTTCACCCTTATATGGACGCCGTGACATATTTGATAGGCTGTTAAATTACTATTCGGATATATTGCCATTCAAAGGACCAACACATTTTTTTTTTAATTTGGACAATTTTCAACCACGTTTGCTATAATTTTACCGAATCGGATCTTTTTTCCGTATAGTCGAAATGCATGGACGCAGGATAAAAAACCGTATGCTGATCAATCAAAACATCATTGCGATTGTGTATTTAATTTATGGAGATATGTTTTTTTCTGTTTTTCCTTATCTGTGAATTACCCGTTTGCTTTGTACACAAGCATGTATATTCTGAAAGCTCAGGATGTATTTACTTTGGGCGCTCTTCCATGTAAAACTGCATGTACTTACAAGCATGTATCCGTAAAATCGTGTATTGGGATATTCTGTTTATTCGACGAAATAAAAGAAATGCATAAGTATGTCATTCTGTACAATACAATTGTAAGTTTGGTAGCAAATAATGCAAACTCAGAAGTGATTAATTTAATTTTCGATTTTCCCGAGAATTGAAAACGTCACCTCCACTTACAATTATTATGCATGTGTACATGCAGTTTAAAACATGAGACAGTAAAATAAATTGTTGCAAACCTAGTGGTTAAGTCGGCAATTAAAATGCAAAAAACTCAAATGAATAAATACACAGGCGGATAAGATAATGATAAAAATAAGCGTGAGATAGAGTGAAATTAAATAATATTTAAGATTTGAAATGATTTCAAACACATGTACAATTTTCCATTAATCGCTATGAGTACACATTGCATTAAATTTTTAACACCGATATGACCGCGGCGCGCTAATCTCTGCGGCCACGTGTGAACGACGAGTGGGTTACAAATTTTGAAGTTAAACACAGAGACAGAGCGGAATATAAACTGTCTGCTGTTAGAAGGCGTGAATTATTGTTTGTTTAAAAGTATTATTTTACGTATATAGTTTATTTAATATTAAATGAAAAATTAAATGAAGAAACAAGAGACTGATAGTAAAAATTATACTTTACACAAGTATCACTAAATACAATTCTTTGCCGTAGCACCTTTTCAATTACAATTGAAATAGAATACTATAACACGGGATAGAGAAATATTTTTTTTTAATCGTATTGTTGTGTCAACAGTGACCAGGTCGATGAAAGCGATTAAAATTCGTAAAGATTAAATCAAAGATAAGATTAAGTTATCTTAAAGATTCGATATAAATAAAAAAAAACCATAATGTTTCATTAATCGTTGTTTCTACACAATGGATTTGTCTTCTCAGATGTTTGTTTTGTTTACATGGCTTATGACCGTAGGTGCCTGGTACACTGGTGACCTCGGCAACGTGGGATCGCGGGTTGTGTTACATAACCATAACATCGAGGTGAACATGGAGAACGTAAACTGGTAAAATGCGTACAGTTAATGTTCATTAATTATTCGATGCTTAAAGTTTAATATAAGTAATATTAAACTTTAAGCATCGAATAATTAATAGATACATTTAATTCCTTCCTTTATTTGAAGACGTGTTCCCTTTAAATCTAAATTAAAAAAGAAAAGAAAGTTGTAAAAAATAATTTATGAGTAAACCACAGAACACGTTTAAAACCTTATTTAGAAGAAAATTAGCATAAAATACAGTAGGGTATATAATTTATTGCAAGTTTGTTAAAGTTATACACATGAAGAGTTCTGATTTACTTGCCGATTGAAAACGCTTACCTGTTTACGGGACCTGCTTTTTACCTACATATTACGACATATTACGCAATACTCGAACAAAACAACATTTGTATGAGATTAATAAGGTGTTAAAGAACAACTTTAATTCCGAAAGCCATATCGAAATATTTACTGTTTCTGAGTTATAAAGCGAAAACTTTCAAGGGCTCTAGATCCCTAATTATAGGGGCCAGCCCCTTTTAAATGATATCAAATGAAAGCTCTTGCTATTATGCACAACTTTTATTCTACATGTTTTAACAAAATATT